CCAGTAGGAAAATAAAACTTTTTCTTGAACTGCCAGAAATAAAATTAATTAGTGGGCTCAAGACGGAACATGTAATATTTGAATTTTATCAAAAACATAACTGACACTGAGCCATTTACTTTACTGAAGCCAGTCTTGATCAGGTAAATTATAAAGTTGCTACTATCCTCAGGAAATCACTTGTAAGAGAAAACTGTAATGGCTTGGAACAGAATTCCTCAGAAAATCATGTGAAAGCAGTAAAGCAGTATGGATCCTAAGTAGCAATGATTAGCCTTCCCCCGCCTTCCTTTAACCATGTTCCCCTTAATTACCCTGAACTATTCCTCTTTTGTTGAGCAATCTAGTCAATATCTATTTTTGTAATTCACCATTTTAGGTCATTATAGAAATACAGCTGACTTGTAGTCTTTTGTGGACCATCGTTCCCCCTCTTTTTCCTCAGCTTTTTCTCTAATACTCATGCCTACTTGTCTTTTATATTTTTGGCTCATTCTCTCTCAGAAGCTTCTCATTACAGGTCTCTCATTCTGTCCAACTCACCTGTTGGTCAAAGTGGCTGGATAAAATCTAAAGTCCTGCAGTCGCCCAATGAACTGATTAGACCCTAGAGAGATGAAAGCAGAGTGGAAAAGAACATAAAGAAACGTGTTAATGGGTTTGCACTGAAGGCAGTGAGTGAGAGGATTTCACAGTATTTACTAGATTATCTTATCAGTTTCTTGATACCAGTTAAGTGAGGCTGCGAACAGCTGCCTATAATGGCTTGGATCACAATGCAAAGCTAAACTGGTCTGCAATAGACCTCATTTGTCTCCACTAGAGAGCAGCAAGGCAGCTGAAGGCAAATTTATCGGTTTAGATGACAGAAGTTCAAAATAGATTTGCTATTTGTATTGACCTTCTGTTATAAATAACAGTTTCACAGAGGCAATTCCTAATTATCTAACACTCTATACTATAACTGTTTGGAAAAACTATGTATCTATAAAGTTAGAAAAAGAATAGTTTGCAGTACCTCAAACAGATTCTGTGACAATAGCATAACACACAAGTCGATGCTGTGAAAGTTTTGTGTTTCACTATTAATGTGGAAATATTGGTAATATATATATATATATATATATATTTAAAAAAGATAAGTTATCCTGATGCAGCTCAGTCATCTAGGTAGAAAAATCTAATAAAAAATAGTAGGTCCTCTGAACAGGTTTGTTGTTCTTCAGTCTAAGAACTGGCAGGTGTAACTCAACCTTATAAAAAAACGATTAATCGATTATTAAATTAGTCATTGATTATTTTAATAATCGATGACTAATTTAATAATCGATTAATCGATTATTTTAATAATTGATTAATCGATTATTTTAATAATTGATTAGTCATCGATTAACAGACTAATCGTGGCAGCCCTACACTGAAAACAGGGATGCAAACATCAAGGGAGAAGTTAAAAAGAAGTTTGTAGTTTCTAATTAATGATATTACCAAACTACTCTTTCATTGTTTGCATTAGTGTTTACACATGCATGAATTCGTGCCCGGACTTAAGAAGGAGGGTGGAAGAGTGTGGGTAATCGAACTAAAATGTGATTGATATTTGTAAAAACAAAAAGAAAAACAATAGAGCCTAAATATCATATTATATAGCTGATACTACTGAATGTAATCTAGGTTGATTTGTCCAAAGTGATCAGGGGCCAGAAATGGTTTTATAATATTTTTCATCACAATGGCTCCAGCTGCATTATGTACAATAATACCATACTCAAATTCTGACAAGACAGATTATAAATCATGGCTGAGCACACACTGCAAACTCAGTGTCAATGATATATTGTATACTACTTTGTGGAAATACAAGGTTTTTGTTTTTTTAAAACACATTTAAAAACATTTTTTAAACCAGAAAAATGTAACAAGAGACACAAAATGGACCAGCACAGAGATAAAAATGGAGCCATGTTACACAATACACAGCAATCGTCCAAAGTTCCTTTAACAAGCATACCTGTACCGGAATACGTAAAACGTGAAGGCAAAATGTCCAGACACACACGGGAATCCTGGACAGCACACCAAAAACACCATCAAACAAACAGGCAAGCCCCCGGCACATCTCCAAGCACAACCATGCCTATGTGATAATGCTGGACAGAGCACAAGGGAACGACACATATGATGATGATGCTGGTCCAAAGGAGGCCAAAGCATTTTAGTGTCCAACCAACGTCTTTCTAGTTTGACTAAGTCTTAGAAGATGGATAACGTCTCGAAGCATCGACAGAAGCCCTGCCATGTTATAAGTCTGTGAAAGTGCGTGTTTGTGTGTTTGTGGCTTTCCCACATGGAATCCAAAAATGATTCTTACTTTAGAGAAAGACTGTGTAGTATGTGTGCATTTGTGTATTTGCACTTGAGAGAGGCTTTGGTGTGTTTGGCCAAGCCACTGGGTGTATGTGTGTATTTTGGGGAAATGCGGCATGTGCATGTAAAACAGAGAGAGTGTGAGAGACTGTTACGAGATGTAAGAGTGCTAGATCAGTGTGTGGTGGTGGAGCCTTAGGCTTTGGCTCAGGGTTTCTTTATCGTGTGGAAATGGGATTATACCTTCCTCTGAAAAGCAGTCTCCCTATTGTTACTGGGATGATGCAAGGTATAAGCCTTAATTCTTTCCTCCCTGGGTAGGCCTTTCTTCTTTCTGTGCGTTTTAATTTCTGTTATTCATTTCTCCTCTTATTTGCTTTTTATGACATTATAACTTGGGGTACTTGTAATATCAGGATGTAAGAAGTATTTGTTTTTTGCATCTGTGATAAACTGTTTCTTTAACAGGAAGCCTCTCAGTATTTAGGTTGTTATTGTTTCAGCCAGTGGGAATGGCTACTGCTGGTCCACGATCCTGAGAGCAGCAAACAGTCCTTTAGTACTTTCCATGTAGTTCAGTAAAACAACAGGAAAAACATTTTTCAGTATTTATCACTTCAAAACTGTCTAATTCAAATTCAAGTCAGTTATAGACAAACAAAATCTGACTAAACAAAAAGCAAACATTTAAAATGTTTCAGTTTCTTCTGAAAATGTTAAACCATTTTTAATGTGAAAAAATTACAAGAAAAGAGAAAAAAGTATTTTAACATTCTCAGGATCAACCCCAACAACATTCCAAGTTTTCAGGGTCCTCTTATAAGACTTCTTATGGGACATTCAAAAGAAGTTGTAAAATAACAACTCAAAACCTTTATCAGTTAACAAGTGCTGGTTTGTGCTGCCTGATTTAAATTTGTTTAGCAAAAGTTGGCTAAGCTTTTTATAGAATACCGATTGAAAAAAAGAAGATATAGAACAGCCCAACTACCAGGGGCAGACTGGGACAAAAAAAATGGCCCGGGAATTTAGTACCTGACCAGCCCATCCAAGGTCCGGGCTGGCAAATGATGTCTGCAAATGCTGGAGGCCGATGGTGGAGGCAGATGATGGATGCGCTGGCCCACCGGGAAAAGTCCCGGTACTCCCAATGGCTAGTCCGCCCCTGCCAACTACTCAAACTTTTCCAAAAGCTTAGTGCAAACTTCATATAAATTTGATGTTTTTATTAGTCACAAGATTTTATTTTGTGTTCAAACTAAACATATTTTTCATGTGAAGATGTTAGGTTATTTTGGGCCGTTGTTTCTAGCCATTATGTGCCACTCAATCCCACACACTGAGACTTTAAAGGATGTGTCTTTTAAAGCTTCTCACTTGATCGCTTGCATTTGCAGTCTTCAAGAGGTAGGCCCCCCATCCAAAAACAGATCTAGATGGTGATCAATACATCTGATCAGTATTTGCATAATTATTCTTCTGATCAGAATTCCAGGCACTTCCCCTGGGTTCAACAATGACCCTCTTTTACACACATTTACACAAGCACACACATTTTCAATGCCTCAAGCCAATCACTCTCATTGATCAACCTCTCTTATGTGATCTCCATCTGATCAGATGCTACCTGCTGTGAACTAAGAATCAATGACTGATAAACGAGAAGAAAAACACTCGTTTATCACTCCAGAGATGAACAGATATTTTTTTCTCTCATTTTCTCAGCTATTGACTCTGAAATGGCTCGCAGGCACCACGAATCAATCACAGATATGTAGTTGAAACAGAATAAAGGCCAGGAGCAAAACAAAGGTGAAGTGGTCATTGACACCATATTAAGATAAACAAATATGATAAACTGAAGCGTTTGTTTTCCTCCTGTAAGAGAACAAAACTACAGAAGATGCCTATTGAAGAGTAAATGTAGAGCAGTAGCAAAAAGTACTGAGACAGTGCTGGCAACGTGTGTTTAGAGAAGAATGTGTTCACTCATCACACCTAGTCAACATATCTCTTTACATCACCCAACTATGATGTATGCATCCTAGTTTGATTTATTGCATAAAGATTTCAAATGAACTTTGTACTTTCTGCTCCGGTTTGGTCAATTCAAGTCTTGCATGTGTCAGAACTCAGTTTTCTCTCTCAACATCTCGTATCAACATAATTCATTTGAGAAAGCCAAATGTGTAATGTTTTTGTTAAATATAGTCGTAATGTTCTACTATGTATAAGAAAGTTTATTGTACTTCATTAATGTAGTTGTTAGCATGAAAAAGACAGAATTCTTGCTCTGATTAAGGAAACTACAACTTGTCATGTCATAAAACTTCATTTCAATCTAACAATAATTTCAAAAGTGTACCAGAGAGGGATTCATTTAGGAAGCACATGGATCATTGCATATCAGTGCAACTGTGAAAGAAATATAAAATATTTACCATTGGAGCTGAGTCCCACCCACATGGCACCAGGCTCACTGATAGAGAGTGAATTAGTCAGAATTTGTGTGTCAAATGGTGTCCCATCCTCCTCAAGGCCATCCAAGAAAAGACTTGCATGTCGGTCATATATCTAAAGAAAAAAAAAGTACAATAGGCGCAATGCACATTTAAGAAAAACAAAACATACAAATCTAAATTTGTAGGACTCACATTATTTACATTTGGCATTTTAGACGCAAGTCTTGCACCAACATTTATGTAGTATTGATTGAATTCATTTATTATTTCACTTTGATCATAGAGTTCTTTGTCATTTTTCACAAAGTGCTGTGAAATACCTAATCGTGTTTTATAAAAGTTCTCAAAATACTCATTCCTCCCCATGTTGCTTTCATATCACCCTTACTTTATTTAGTAATTCACAATAATATTTCTTTTTATGCTTTATTATAATCCAAACCAACTTGTTCTTACACTTCTTGTTCTTAATATAGGACGAGTGGGCAAACTTAGTCCTCGAGGCTTCAACTCGCCTAGGGCACCAAAATGGCTAGAGCCAGCAC